CTTGGGGGATTGGTAAAAACAGCCCGAGAACGTTAGAATGTGGAGGACTGTGGTCGCCAACCCTAAGATGTATCAGGGGCCACTAATAGGGCGCAGGCCCCCAGTTTTCTTAGTCATGCCAATGTTGTTGTTACTTCTCACTTTGCAGTGGTATTTTTCTGGTTAAATAAACTTTCATTATTAATTCAATATCAGATACTCATAATGACACCAGGTGATCAAACTGATTCCAGGTGACTCACAAGTGCTAATAAATGACCTCGGCTGACTTGTAAGGACTTAGTTACCCAAGGTCGGGACTAGGGCTATTTCAGTGGCAACAAAATCTTATTATTATTATTATTATTATTATTATTATTATTATTATTATTATTATTATTATAATAAACTATGCAAAATACTCAAATGTCACTTAATGTGTACTGTAAGATCGTGAAATTATAGAAGGTTAGAATGGTAGGTAGGGGTAGGCAGGTTAGATAAGTAGATCGGTAAGTGGGGTAGGTAGGTTGATAAGTGGGATAGGTAGGTAAGAAGTGATGGTTTGCAAGCCATGGTATCAGAAGAACACTAACAGAGGACCAAGGACATCCGGATCCCACAACATATGTAAACACTCGTCCACCCACACCCACTACGCCCCGGCGACGCTCCTAATAACTCCACTGCCACAGTTATCCTAACGGCCCCCTTAAGTCTGTCTCCAACTGCGGTTAAGTTGGCTAATGAAGTAATGATAGACCTCTTGAAATTAATGTATATCTGATACGTATATGTTTACCTGTTTGTATCTGTATTTTACACATATCAGTACCTCCTTGCAAGGTAGTAGGTAATAGGCAGCTATCAATCAGGGAGGTAGTACTGCCTGAGAAGATATTGGAAGCATAATGTGTTGTCTAATGGTAGACCCTGCTGCTATATGGCATCACAAAAATTAGTGACCAAGTCCCAGGTTGCTGATCTGACTTTCTGCCTCATTTACACACAATTGCAGGGTCTCAACTGTTTCACTTACTTTGACTACGACTACTTTGCTTTCACTCGGAATCGATTATGACGATCATCCAGCTATGATACAATGATATGAGTTATTAGGGATGTCACCTAGGTTAATGAGTTTTGAGGTGACTAAAGAGGCCGATACGGGACCCGCAGCGCCCTCCACATTCGTTGCACATGTGGAGGGCTCCATCTACTGTGGGAGGGGCGGTGGCAACGTCATTCCGACATTGGTGCTTGTCTGCCTCGGATTGAAGTCGGGCTAACTTGAAAGTATTGACATCTTCTCGTGTGGTGCTTCTCCAAGTGTTATGATGTGGAGTAATCGACTCCCAGGTAAGGGGGTCGATTTGGCACCTTTTCAGGTTTGTCTTAAGACTATCCTTAAATCTTTTCAATTGCCCGCTGGCGTTACGTTTGCTATTCGTTAAGTGACTGTAAAGTAGCCGCTTTGGCAGTCTACTGTCGTCCATGTGGGTAACATGGCCAGTCCAACGTAGTTGTTCATGGACAATGGTAGCCTCGATGCTCCTACAGTTGGTGTCAGCAAGAATACTGGCATTTGTTCTCTTGTCTTCCCAGTGAACTCGGAGGATGGAACATAGACTATGTTGGTGAAAGTTTTCAAGTGCCTTGAGGCACCTCCTGTATGTGACCCCATGTCTCACTGCCATATAGTAGGGTGGGCAGGGCCACTGCTCGATATACATGCAGTTTTGTGAATAATTTCAACTCCCTACAGCTAAAGATACGGTATCGGTGTCCGCCCAAGGCCTGAGATGCACATCTGATCCAATGATGAATATCTTCATCGATGTTTGCGATGTTTGTGAATTGGTTAGCTGGGTGGATGGTGGAAGTGTGTCTGAACCAGGGGCAGGTTGAAAGAGAATTTGAGTCTTACGTACGTTCATCTCGAGGCCGAAGTGTGCATACGCGCCTGCATAGGTGCTCAGGATCTCCTGTAGGTCGCGTTCAGTTTGAGCAACAAGGGTGAGGTCGTCTGCATACTGAAGCTCAGTCATGGAAGCTGCCGACACCTTTGTTCTTGCCTGGAGTCGTCTTGTGTTGAAAAGACCCCCCTTCACCCGGTACTCGATGTTCACCCCGCTGGCTAAATTGGGACTGGCACGACAAAGGAAGGCAGCCAAGAAGATGGAAAAGAGAGTTGGTGCCAGTACACACCCTTGTTTAACCCCTGTTTGGATGGGGAAGAACTCTGACTGGGTACCGTTGTGCAGGACACTGCTGTTCATGCCATCGAGTAGTTGCCTCACAATGGTGATGAATTTTGGTGGTCAGCCAAAACGGCTGAGGGTCCACCAGAGGGCTTCCCTGTTGACTGTGTCGAAGGCCTTGGTTAGGTCAATGAAAGCCATGTACAGGTCACGACGCTGTTCTCTGCACTTTTCCTGTATCTGACGGGCAGCAAAGATCATGTCAGTGGTACCACGTGATGGTCTAAAGCCACATTGAGATTCTGGGAGGAAGTTTTCCGCCTCAGGAAGAAGTCTGTTTAGGAGGACTCGGGCGATAATCTTGCCAGCTACGGAGAGTAGTGAGATCCCACGATAGTTGCCACAGTCTGACTGGATCCTCCTTGTTCTTATAAATATTGACAATGGAGGCATCTTTAAGAGCTTTGGGGATTTCCTCATTTTCCCATATATTCTTCAGGAGAGAGTGGAGATTTCTGATAAGCAGAGGTCCTCCTGCTTTATACACCTCGGCTGGGATTCCATCAGGCCCTGAGGCTTTGTTATTTTTCATCTGTTTGATGGCGGTAGCTACCTCATCCAGGGATGGAGGATAGCTGAGGTGGGTCAGCTCTGGATGCTGAGGGACCTGCTGGGTAGTCAGGACATCCACATCTGTGTTTCGGTTGAACATTGAATGGTAGTGCTCTTTCCAGCACTGAAGGAGGCCTTCATCTTTAATTATGTGGTTACCGTCAGATGAGCGAAGGGGGGATGTCATGAGTGACTCGCCCATATAATGTTTTAGTGGAAATGAAAAATTTGTCCATTTTGTGCTGATCTCCAAGTTTTTGTGCTTCACATGCTTTATTTTTAAGCCACTCGTTCTTTAGATTGTGTAGTTCCCGCTGGGCTGCCGCTTTCTTCTGTGGAAGGTATCAGCTTTGGTCCTAGACTGAGGGTTGTTCTGCCAGTCAGTAAAAGCAGCACATTTATCATCGATGAGTACTTTGATTGCCGAGTCATTTTCATCGAACCAGTCCTGATGTATGCTTTTGATCTGGCCGAGGGTCTCTCTGCAGGTCTTTGTCATAAAAGCATAAGGAGTATCCCATTCGGCACTGGGATTCACGTTGTTTGCTGTTGGGTTGTTTATAAGCCCATGTTTGAGCTGCTCTCTGAAAGGATGTGCTACCGCTGGATCCTCCAGACGCTTAGTATTAAAACCTCTTCTGAGGGTTTGCTTCCTTAAAACGGCAATGTGAAGTGAGAACTTGGATCTGACAAGTAGATGATCAGTGTCACAATGGTCTGGGCCATGCATGGCACAGGTGATGAGGACATCTCGGCGATCTCTTTCTCTGACAATGATGTCGTCAATGACATGCCTCTGTTTGGATCGTGGGTGCTGCCACGATCCATTGAACTTGTCGGCCTGCCTAAACAAGGTACACTATTGGCGATAGTGAGGTTAAGAGCAGCACACTTGCTGAGGAGTAAGCCACTGGGATTACACTTGCCTAGTCCATTTTCCCTTATGGTTCCCTGCCAAATGCTAGCGTCTGCCAACTCTGGCATTGAAGTCACCAAGGAGCACAACCTTGTCTTCTCTGTGGATAGAGGTTAGTGCTCTGTCAAGGTTGGTGTAAAAGGCCTCCTTGATGCCATACTTTGCATCCAGTGTTGGGGCGTATGCACTGATGAAGAAGGCGTGACGTGAGTGATTCAGTGGAACTCGAAGCGTCATGAGGCGCTCGTTGATACCAACAGGCATTTCAGTTAGCCTGTGGGATGCATTGGCGGATGGCAAAGCCAACTCCATAAATGTGGTTTCTCTCCGCAGCAGGCTTACCCTTCCAGAAGAAGGTGTAGCCAGACCCCTGTTCTGTGAATTGGCCCTCATCTGGGAGCCGGGACTCACTGATGGCTGCTATGCCTTTCAGGATGTGCATTTGTGCCAGTATTCAGAAGGGTCCTGACATTCCATGCAGCATCCAAAAGTGGTTGTATGGTTTGTTTTTGTTTGGATCTGTGATTTTGATTGTGTTTTTGACAGCATAATTATGACCATACTGGGTGTGGTTGCCCAGTCAGGTTGGGTTTTGCAGTTTTACTTTGACAACACAACATACAGTACATAATGTATATCGTTTATCATTATTGATTTTTTTTCGTTTTTGTATTTATTTATGGTTATTTTATTTTTATTTTAAATCTTATTTTTATTATTTTATTAATTTTTAATTATTATAATAATAATAATAATAATAATAATAATAATAATTTATTATTATTATATTTTAGCCCCCCAGGCCATAAAAAAAAATCTGTTCCTGTGTTTGCATCTGTGCGTTTGTTTTGTGGATTTGTTTAAAATTGTACCTGTACTTTTGATGTATTAGTATGTCTTTGTACTGTACATACTTGTAATGTTATTTCAAGATCATGAAAACTGTTTACGGTATGTATTTTTATAATTTTGCAATCTCCGAACCTGACCCAGTACACCACAATTCCTAAATCAATAAAATACAGTAAAGGTCTCGCTCTCGCTCTCTCGCTCTCTCTCCAGCCCTTTATCACACCCCATACATCTGTACGGTACATGTCTGTGATCTCCTGAAGATTAGCCTGCCCCAGCTTATTTTTCCTAATAATAATGTAATCTGTTACATACTACCTAAGAGATAAAGCTAGGTTAGCATTAGGATGGTTAATCAGAATGTGAAATAGGGTGATTCCTTGCCCCTTTTTTTCCATCCATATCTCATACACAGCTAATGGTTATTCCTTTTTTTCCAGATCTCTGTTATCGTCACTGCAACTAACGAACACAGCCGCTTTGACCACAATTAAAACATCGAGCTACATCAACTAGTCAAGTTCGTCCAGCCCTCCTGCCTCAGTTATCAGGGTATGGCCCAATTCATGCCCTTCCTGTCACCTCACACTGGGCCATGATGCGATTCCAATTGGTCCCTTAACCTCTTAAATACAGCTGCTAATGATCTCAATAGTCTTATCCTTTTTTTTTTTTAATAATTCTTGGTGGTTGGCCTTGCTTTTAACATCATAGTGGAAATGTATGTTTTATGTGTGTTTCAGAGTTAACCTAGTTTGCCTTTAGGTGTATAATTCGATGGGTATGGCATCTTTTTTTTTTAATCCCCTTCTTTCAGCGTGACCTTAAACTCTGACGGGTCGAGCTGAGGCCCTGTAAGGGGTTGAGCTGGCTCTGGTGAGCATGTATTCCGTCAAGAGCATGCTGCCTAACCGGCGACCTGTAGTCTTGTGGACCTCTGTCGATTTCCAGCGTATGCAACCCAGTTACTGGTTTTGTTGTGATGTGCGAATTGGTTTTATAGGCTGGGCACAGTATGGGTGAGGATTATGCATGGGAATGTTTGTGTAGGCTAGGGTATGAGGCTGTGTATAAGATGGCAGCACTGGCGTGAAAACATACTGAAGTGCCCTTCATTCTTCATGCATATAGTATTTGCAAGATTTTGTGACATTTCATCACCAACCTTGAATGTAACTATGACACAGTATTTACTCAGCACATTTGTACCCTTTTCCGAGATATACAGTATGTGGTGATTTGAAGTTCAGCCATTACAGTACAGAACTCTGTGCAAGAAATTTGAAACTTATGATTTTGTTGTTACGTATACGTAGTTTTATTGTATACTTTCTCCAATGGAAAAGGGTTGCTTTTGCTCTTTCTGCATGTACCATATATGCTTTTCTTGTACAGTTGTTACTCTAGTGAGCTCTCTTTGTTACTGTATTTTCCTGCATTCCTTATTACAAGTATGAGTTGGTTATACAGTATTGTTGAATAAAGCCAAAGACCCTAAGGCAGTTGTTCCCAAACTGGGGGGCGCAGGGTACAGGGGAGGCGTGAAGCCATCTGCCAAATTTGCAATTTTTTTGCTCAAAAAGAATATAATGAAGAAACTCTTTCAGGAGTAACTCTCTCTCCATTTGAATCTTCCACACATCCGTGCAAAACCAAAGTATAGCAGTCACCCCTATCCGTTTTCTATTATTGCATCTCTCCTTACGCTTCTTGTACATGACATGGATACCATACTGACTCTCACTACTCGTATCTTTCACAACACTACCAGCCACCGATCCTCCCTCATTTCAGTTCCGGTATGTTAAGATTTATCTCAAACTGTGTGTTTTAGTCTGGATTTCTTCTTTTAATGATTTTTTAATTAATTTTGTTTATAACTATGGTGTGATGTAGATTTTACATGCAAAAATGTAAGAGGGGGGGGTCGTGAGGACTTCGCAGAAAGCAAAAGGGGGCATCATGTAAAAAAGTTTGGGAACCACTGCCCTAAAGTATTAATTGAGGATTGTTTTTACTTGTCAACTTCCCTTATTGAGATTTTCTCATTTGTCAGCAGTGACTTGTGGATTTAAACATCTCATTATGTCATTCAGGGATCACAAGAATGACAAGTTTGCCTGGTGCAGAAACCTTCCTTATTCTTTTGAGGATGTCAAAAGCGTTAGCAACTCTTAGCCTGTATGTGCTGAATGTAAACCAAGATATAAACTGAGAAAATATTTCTAATTAATGCAGCACAGCTCTTTCAGGGATTTGGTATTGTTTTCAATGGTTCTTTACCCTTTTCTACCCGGACTTGGTACTTTCTCTTGGTGGCATCTAGATTCTTTTATTTTGCTTTTATTTTTCTGTCTGGATATGACTGCTCAGACTATCATCACATGTTTTTCTCAATTGTTGGTATGACTGCATATATTCCTCAGGTAGGGGAAACTCGTTTATGTTAACCTTGTTGAAACAGTTATTGCATAGCCTTGGAATATCAACCAACAAAACTACTCATTACAGTATGGTCCTCAAGGAAATGGGTAGTACAAGTGGTACAGTGGGTTGAAAAGCTCTAACCTTAGCATTATGATCTCAAAGCCTGCCTATCTCTGTGGGAATTCAGTCTTCTAGATACTGTACACTGCATTCTACTCACTCACTGCTCTCTACTGCTACAAATGCTATGCTATACAGTACCCTGTGAGTGACCTTTTAATTGCCAATGTTGATGAAGTGGCTCTGTTATCCTTACATGGCTACCTTTCCAAGACCGGTTCTTTTATGTCATACAAGACAATTGAAGCGTTACATATGATACGGGCCCCCCTCCCCCTGATCACACCAAGATTAGCTTTCAAGAATATGAACGGCAAGTTTTGATAACTTTAATTGTCCATAACACCACCAAATGTGCATACAGTCATCACCTGATGTTTGGAAGGGTTAGGCTCATTAAAAGCTTGCCATAAATCAAAATTCCGTATGTATACTGTACGTACTGTATTGTATTGAACCCAATTTTCCCAGGAACTACTATTTTATTAGTCGAGATTGGTTCCTACGCATCAAAACCTTTGACTCTACAATATAACGAATATACATAATAATACAACAACAAACTTTATTAACGTCTAAGTGTTTTCCAAGTAATAAACCAAGATACCTCCCGCTAGTTACCAAAGAGTTACCGTATTTTCAGTTTTTTGCTGGAAAAGCTAGATAATGATGTCTAAATTCGTGTGAAATGGGTGGCAAATCGAGCCTCATGCTGGCAGAATCGTAGGGATTGTTGTGCAGTGTATCTCTGTTTCCATGGGAACCAGCCCCGGCATTTTAAATCACTCCGAATTTAGTTTATACTACTTTATTTTATTTCCACTTTTTTTATACTAGATTTGTAATTATATAATACTGAATAGGTAGGTGAATAAAAACTAAATTAAAACATACAAAATTGTCTTTTTTATTTACATGTGGCAAATGTAGATGCCTCGTCTGCACAGGAAACATGCCGTGGTGAGCTTCAGAAATCTCTTGCATAAAAAACATAAATTTACATAATTTTACACTAATTTTACTCTTAATTGTACTCAAATATGTAGATACAGTATTATTCACCGAGGCACTTTTTAGGAGTCGACACATGACATATGCTATTGGGTAAGGCACAAATTTATATGGTACAGTTTTACTACCAATACAATGTCACAATGCCGCCACCACATCATGTTGTGCTGATACCCTAAAATAATGAGAAATTATTTCTATTTACACTGTTAGAAAAGTATTTTCTGTGCTTTGGTAGTTTTGAAGAGTACACTGATAGCGAGTGTCTTTGTGTACTTTGGTGCAAATTTCACTCGAACAGCACACATAAAAATTTTTCTAGGAATACTGCTTTGCCCCAGTGGAAGGAATCCCTGAACAGAAGTGTTGAGCAGTATATCGCAAAGGGAGTTCACTACCACCTACGCAATGACCTCCAGGTCTCTGACGAGGTACTGCATTTGTCTCCAAAAACTGCCTTGCCACATTCAATGAAAACTCGTGGAGTGTAGGTTTTTTACCTGTCTTCACTAGATAAAGAATGTGCACGTTCTGAAGGGACATGTCCAAAAGATGGAAGAATAGTTTTTGTGCCATTTTATGGTCTTTCTATGCACAATCTATACTGGAGATCATGCTGTGAGACTTGTCAACCAGATGTATGTTGGAGGTGTAGTCTGAGACAGTGTGGCTTGTAGAGCCTCATCCTGGTCTTGGGGTCAACGTTGTGGGTTGATGGAGTCCAGCATATGGTGTCATGGTCATCAATATCACCCTCACTCACTATTCTTGTCATCATGTGGGTAATCAGGGTCATTAAAATCACCAGAATCACTCAGATCACTGTCCATTCCAAATGGCTCTTCACCATCACAAGGAGCATCCTCGTCAAAGAAAATAGTTTATTTTGGCGTCACTGATTGCACAACGTGACGGCATCCTTACTGAGTGGGACAGGCGAAGTTACTGGCGTGTTGCTAGAAAACATGAGGCCTAGTAATGTGATTGTCTGTAGGGGTGTATGTCAGACAACTCAAGATATTTATTTATAGCTCTTGGGACCCATAGAGATTAGCAGGAATTTTAAAATTTTCAAGGAACATTGATATACGCCCCAAACCTGGATGCCTTTACTTTAGTGGACGTTAATCGACGCCCCAAACCACGTAGGGGTTAATACTATCTTGAAAATAAACACACATAGTAATGCAGCAATTAAACCAATAAGAGGCATTTGTGTGAGTAATAATTCTGTAGAAATACTTATAATCCATTTCCTCAGTCAGTTGTGGCCTGTGAGATGGCCATGCACATTGCCCTTATTGCATGTAATGAAGCTATAAAAGTTGTGGAAAAATCATTTCAATAATAATAATAATAATAATAATAATAATAATAATAATAATAATAATAGGTGTCTGTGTCTCAAGAGTGCCAGTTCTTCTAAAGAATTCACTAGCGCTTGGAACACTACAACTGATCATAAGTTTAAAAAAAAAAAGTCTTAACTTGTTTCTTAAAGGCTTCCACAGAAGTCAGCTGCTTCATGGATGCAGTCTGAGTGCTGTATAGGAAAAGGATCGGGCAGCAAAAGAACATTCCCTATATCGTGCTGACATGGATGCAGCAGGATATTTAGGAAAACTCTTTTAATTGTATTTAAGCATTTAATGTTCCCCCTACTAAGGAAGATTTAAAAAAAAAACTACTGAAAAATCTCCATATAAAAATATTATTACAATTATTTTCACAGTATAAATTGCATGCAGTAGAACACACCATCCTACTTAGCCAAAGCAGAAAAAAACATAAAGCACGAGATCAGCTGAAGTTATTTACAATGAAAATATATATAGTACACATATAGTAGTAATGTCTGTTAGCTGGAATCCCTCAAACCTGGAACTCTCCGATAGCCGGAATTGAAATTTTCTCAAAAAATCATTCCCAAAGGCTTTAGGGACGATTTTCCGAGGGACACATTTTCTGGAAAATTCTGAGAACATTTTCCCGGTACCCGGAAAATTACAGAAAATTCTTGGGATGGGGCATTTTTATTCCAAGTTTGAGAGATGAAAATTGGGCATTTTCTGGAAATTCCGCAAAAATTTTTCCAGTACAATGTACCAGGAAAATTCCAGGGATGGGGGACATTTTTCCAGGTTCGAGAGATAATGTAATGTGCAGTTTCTGGAACTTCCGAGAATATTTTTCCGTTGCCAGGGATGAGGAATTTTTTTCCCGCTTTGACAGAGTCATCTTGTTTCCTGGAAATCTCTCATTCCTGGAAGTGATCTGTACCAATTGTTCCTGCTAACGGAGATATCACTGCACCATAATTTTATCGGAATTTTCCAGAATGATGCATTATTTCATCTTTCAAACCTGGAAAAATTCCCCATCCTCAGAATTCTT